TATTTAATAACATAAATTGGAGGTCTATAATTACTCTTTTTCTTGCAAATTATCAGGTAATTATATCTGACATTTAACATAATATGCATATGCAGAAGTTTACTGCGGTCTGCTGAGTTGTAACAAAGTGTAGTCTTGTTACCAACATTCCTCTGAAACATTGGTACCCACCGATGTGGCTACACAGCGTCACTACCCAAAAGACCAAAAGCAGCATCTTCAATGCTATAATAACATCATATCAAACATAATACTTCCATTTTCAGGTGATCAGGTGTTGCGATACACATGTTTATGTATTATTAAAGACAATGGTTGGTTAGTCGATCATTTCGAATTTCTTCCCTCGTCTTCTAGCTATTAATTTTGAATTAAACAGCTTGGAAATTCGTGCACAATTTAGAAGCAGGAGTTTCGAGAGAAAGAGAAGTCACAAATCCACCTCAAATTTATTGTTCAATAACATTTTATATCCCACATCATGATATCATATCAATGAGCGAAGACAATTAATTTATGTGTATCTCAACAAATAACAGTGGTTGACTAATAAACAGAAGAAGCAGGTCTGAATCCCACTCTATAATTTTTCACTAAACTAAAATCTTGCCTTAGATTAAGAGAACACAAAAATTAATTCATCAACACATATCTTAATATGGACTTGAAATAGTGAAGCTGAACCCACCTAATAATTAGCAACATAGTTCTTGGCATGGCACGAAGAGCTTCCATAACCTTATCAAATTTATGACGTGTCATTTCTGTCATGTACCTTAAATCTTCTTCACTTAATTTTGTCCTAAATTTCATACCAGCATCTAAAGGTCTTTGTGTCAAAATTTCAACCAACTGGCGATAATCTGGGGGAAAAAAAATAAATACAATCATAACATTTATTTCTATAGAATTACACACAACGTTGTTCTCTTGTTTTATCAAATGCAACCCATTACGGGTACTGAATTAATGCTAAACAATGTTGACATACCTTAAGCAATATTTTTGTGTGAATGATAGCATAAATATCAAAGTTAAATTCTGGTAGGCAGCCCCATTTAAGGGCATCTAAATCCCTTATTCCTATGTAATGAAGGTTAAAGAATTGATTCTAAAGGCTTGGCACAGTGGTTCAGTATTGTTATGGGAGAATTTTCTTTATATACTGTTCAACATATAAAAAATAGACTGGTATATGATATTTTGCAAGCTGCTGCGTCTCTATCTTCAGGAAGCAGAATAGAGTTTCTCTTGCCCTAGTTCTTTCTGCTTGGTCAACTTTCATGGTTAACATTTCTTTATACGAGGCGCGTCCTCAAAGTAAGTTTCCCACTCGTCCCACAGCTAGCAAACCTTATATTGCGCGAAGCGACTGTGCGTACGTGATAGAGCAATGACGTAGCATGGCGCATGCACTAACGGC